GGCCGGGAGGGCAGAGTGTAAGAGCAGCCTCTGATTTCCGGTCTCCCTCACCGTCTCTCCTCCCCAGTCTGCAGCTCAGGTCTCCGCTGTTCATCAAGGCAAGCGTTTTCTCAGGAAGCCTTGCGTGGGCTTTTCTGAGTTATGTGTCTGACGCAGCGCTGAACACTGAGTGTGTCTCGTGAGTCCCACACTGGTCCTTTCCAAGGGCTTTTGGTCTTGTGCTCTGAAGCTCAGGGAAGTTCAGAAACCCGCCCAAGGTCACACAGGGAGAGGACGGTGGCTGGAATACGCGCCTGATAAGCCCAAACTCCAGTCTCGTAACTCTAGATGAGCCCCAGGTAAACCCACAGAAGCCCATCTCAGGATGGCAGGATTGCAGGCCCAGCTCTGAGGGACCAGCGTTTCCTGTCTGCAGCCAGGTGAGGGATTGACGGTGATTAGATGTGGGCACAGGAGGTGCGACCAGACTGCAGTGGCACACGCTGTGTGTGTGTGTGTGTGTTACATTGTGGTTGAAACATGCATGTGTTAGGTATCAGACCCAGGACAAATGGCTAACTAAGGTGCCTATTTAACATATCAAAGTGGACCTGGCTGCCTGGTCACCCAAGCATCCCTCAGTCGCTACCTGTTACAGGGTATGGCTGGCATGCCCTGACCCCTACCCTGAACTCTCCAGCCCAGGGGTCGGGTTGCCTTTCCCTCAGCTTCCTTTCCTGTATAGTCCAGCCATTTTGGTTACCTAGCCTTTTCTCCCCTTTACTCTCCTGGCTCTCCCCCTGTCCTCACAGGGCCTGGCTCAGGGTCAGGTTCACTCTGGACTCTCCCAGATGTCCCTGCCTCTGCCTACGCTCTCCCTCCTCTCTACAATGAACTTTCTCTTCCACCATACCTGGGAGCAGCCATGTCCTGCCTTCTTTGTTTCTGTTTTTTTCCCCCCATTCAGCATGCGTTAGCTTTCAGTTGCTGCTCTGAAGATTACCTTGAACTTCATGGCATGAGATAACTCAGGATTCTTGTCCCATAGTTCTGGAGGTCAGAATTATGAAATGAGTCTCAAGCTACTGAAGTCACGGGGTTAGCAGCACTGGCTCTTTCCGGATGCTGCAGGGGAGAATCCGTTCCTTGCCTGGCCCACCCTCTAGAGGCTGCACCCATTCTTTGGCTCAGTAGCTCCTTCCTCTTCTGTCTTCAAGTGTGTGAATCATTCTCTAGTCAGCCAGTCTCCCTCTACCATCACATCTCTTTTTCTCTGGCACCAACTGTAACACGAACTCTAAAAGGTCTTATTAATTAAAAAAAAAAAGCAAACAAACAAAGAAAAAAACCCGGAGCCTGGTACTGGGGTAAATGCTGAAAGATCAGAGAGACAAAGGAACAAGCCACTGCCATGTCTTACCTCTAGGACTCCTCAGCCCGAAAAAGCCTTAGTTCCTGTCTCCTCAAACCTTAAATACCTTTCTCCACCCAGCCTTCTTAATGCTGGGATTAAAGGTGTGTGTCACCACTGCCTGGCTCTGGTTCCCTCCTAGACTGAGTCAATCTCATGTAGTTCAGGGTGGCTTTGAACTCACAGAGATCCACATGGATCTCTGCCTCCCGAATGCTAGGATTAAAGGTGTGTGCCACCATTGCCTGGCCTCTATGTTTAATCTAGTGGCTTGTTCTGTTCTCTGATCTTCAGGCAGATTTTATTAGGGTACACAGTGTATCACCACATTTAACCCTTCACGGTCTTCCGAGAATCTTTTCACTGACCCACCAGGATAGCTCAGAACACTGTCCCCATTTCAGCATCCTTGAACTCAATTGCATTTACATAGTCCCTCCCACTAGATGTAAAATAAGCCACAGGTTCTAGGGCTTGGATGTGAGCATGTTTAAGAGGCTTTCATTTCCATCTGCCATGAAATATAACGGAAACAACTGTGTTGTGAGCTAGCCTGGGCACAGTATTTCTAAGGTGGTCGCTGTGGACCCTGGAGCATCTAAAAACATTTTGGGGCATGAGTAAGGACAGCCCAGTGGAGGATCTACTTACTGCTCACATGCTGAGACACAGGAGCAGTCATGGACTTACAAGAACAAAAGGTCTTGAAAGTATAATCAAGAACTGGTACCCAGGGAGATAAGTGTCTTTTCTTTCTGAGCTCTGTGGCTAGACTTGGATAGTTCCAGGGTTTAGGAGCTCCAGTTGTCTGGAATTAAAATCTCCATTTCACATGTATAACCACAGAAGTGCCACACTAGTGGAGCTGTAGGGACTAAGACGATTGTGCTGCTCTCCAGTGAGCATACAGGCAGACTGATGTGTCAGGAACATGTGTTAAGGGCCAGACTAGATAAGTCAGCCAGCCTACAGGGAGCAAGACCTGGGTGATGGGAAGGGATTCATTTGGAATTTGCCTGGGCTACAGTGGGGGTGAAGGGTGGGGGGAGGATTTGTTGGAGGAACTAGGCAGTTAAGGGCCACACCAAGAATAGTATAGAGGGGTAGAGAGCCAGTGAAGGACTGGGAGCATGGAAGTGAAGGGAGGTAGATGATGGACATGTTTGCACCTCACCTTTATGGTCAGAGCCTCTTGAAGTCAAGGCCTTGGTCTGATTTGCCACTAGATAACCCACCCAGAGGGCGTAGGACAAGTTGAAATTATCGTCGGGTCACGTGTGGGCACCTCACTGAAGTCTCAATGTCCTTGAAGCCTGCTCACCTAAGCTTCCTTGGACAGCTCCTCACATATCAAAAACCTTGCTTGGGTGGATTTTAGGTTCTTGTGTGCACAACACAGCACGCACAACTCATTGCCTTGGGCTCTTTCTTACCAGGCATTAGCCATTGCAAGTGCTGAGAAATGTTTGCTACAAGCATGCTCAGTAGAAATTTGAGGGGAGCGAACCAGCAGAAGATAGAGGGGGGAGGAGTGACAGAGGACAAGCCAGGATAGAGCCTCTTTGACACCTGCTCTTAAATGGGATGTTTTCCTTGTTGAAAAATACTTCTGTGTGGATCTGTGGTCTTCTTCAAACCCCCTGCCAGAAGGAAGCTGCTATGCACATTCTTTAAAACAATCAAAACAAAACCATTCAGCTAGTCGAGGAGACTCAGCCCCAGTGGAGGGGAGTAGTGTCCCTGGATTGCCAGCTAAGGACACTGATTCTGGCTGCTCCACTGGTTTTCCTCTCCCAATGCCGCTGTGTTCCTCGGCCTCATGGCAGTTAGCAGCCTCTCCTGTCCTTGGCTTTGTGGACATGTTGTACGCGCTCTTCCTACCCGTCATTCATCCTTACTGAGGCGCTGCCTTGCCGCAGTACCCTGCGCCTCTCTGCTTTACCTTAGCCACATAGACTTTGTCATCTAAACAGGGAATGCTTGGGGCCAGGGATTTGCAATTTATCTGTGTCCAGCTACTCTTCCCTGAAAGGATGAGCACCAGGCCGCTTCCTGAAGTGGGTTCGTGATTGTTAAACATACTACGGCACCTAAAATAATGTCTGGCTCATCGTGGAATGCCAGTTTATGTCCCGGGGCTGTGTAAGCGGGAGGAGTGGTGTAGTTGGCAGTTTTGAACATTCCTAGAGGCTTGTGGGAATTGGATTTGCCCTCTTCCTGGTTGTTGCTTGGGTCTCTGCCTTCTGGAAGTCAGGCAGCTTTTATCCGTATAGGCGGTATGCTAAGGGGTGACAGATGCTGGTAATATTTCACTTTCCCAAGTTTCATACCAGGAGAGGAGTTCCGGAGTCTCACAGTATGCAAAGAAGAAAGGCTTGGAGAAGGAAGCTGGAGAAGACGGGGAGGCTGAGGGGCTGCTGGGTACACCTAGTTGATTTAGGTTTTGTGTTATTGCTAGATTATCGGTTGCTTTGGTGTGTCCGTGTGCCTGTCTGCCTCTTTCTGCACAGCTGTGATTTTCTGTGTCTATCTGAGCTCAGGGATATGGTTTCAGTGGGCGTGCCTGGCTTCAGGATAAGCAGCGTGAACATGCCTGTTCAGCATATGGAAGTGATGGGGTTGTGGCCCGAAATCCTGGGCCCCATCAGAAGCGCTCTCCACATTGTGTCTCAGCCTAACAATTGCCCATTAAACACCAGGCTGCTAGCATATGGTTTTCCCCAACATCCTCCTCCTTAAGTGGAAACATTAGCCGTGTGGTTAAAATAGTTTCCCATTATTTAGTACTTCAGAATTAACATTTTTGAGAATTCCCCAATTAATACCGAACGGCACATTTGCAGATTACTAAAGAAATATTTAAACAGAATCGGTAGATCTGGGTTGGCTGAGCTGGAGCAACCCTTTCTCGGGAGGATCAGCTTTGGGGTTAGGGAGAGGCGGGGTTAATGGGAGGCTCTGGGGCCCCCTCTGTGGCTGCTGTAATTGGAGTAGGAAGTCTGGTGGGGCTGTTACCTGCTATTAAGGCCGCAGATGGCTAATGGCCACATCACCAAGAGTTAAGAGTTCCAAGTTCTAAAGTCTTTTTTTTTTTTTTTAATGACCCACCCCCTGTATTCCCAGCATAGGTATGGAGGCAGTGAAGAATTTTCTCATTAAAAGTAATGGCTTATTCCCACATTCATTTCCAGTCTTGGAATGAGAGCTGGTTTCCGTGGACTTGAGGAATTGCCTATCTGTCTTGCCTTACTAGAGCTTTTGGGTGAGGCTGTCTGGTAGGCGAGTTTTATAACCAATCAGAGGATCCAACTGGAAGGGCTCCATCTGGCAGCCCTGGTCTCTATCCTAATTTTACTGCTAATGAATTATTTAACCCCTAAACATAGGCCAGTCTGTTCCTGTTGTCTTAGGGGAAAGGGCTCCCAAGATCCCTAGCAGGTAGGAGGAATCCCTGGAGGGTATATGGAGTCGGGGAGTCATGGAACAGCACAATGAGTGGGAGCTGACCTATAGGGCTGGCGAGACCCTGGGCCTCTGCAATGCTCTGTCCGTTTAGATGCTGGGAAAGTAAACTGGCTTCACTCTGCATCGTGTTCTCATTTTCCCACAGGGAGTGGGGCCGGCCAGCAGAAACAACGGGCCGTACAACGTCACCTTCAGATATGACAGTAAGTAACCAGCCTGACCGCAGAGGAGGCAGGCAATTTCTTTCAGCAATGCAAAGCTCACACACTTGTACTTCGTCAAGGACACTGCGGATCCTGGCGTTGAGGAGGTTTCTGAACCTGTCTGGGTTTGTCAACAGTTAAAGCAGCCCAGTCTCCATTTAGCCACTGAAGTGTTTGGGAGCTTGAACAGGTCTGGTGTCTTCCATGCTTTTCAGAAAGTTCTGGGTGAAGACCTGCCCTCAGGACATAGCCTTGTCTTTAAGAGCAAACACAGATGTCAGTAGGTCCCACCAGGGGATGAAGGAGTGAATTTACCCGAGTGTAGACCTCGAGGCAAGGATGGAGACTGGCAAGCTGGGCAGCCTGTCTGATCTGAAGGGGCCACTAGCTTCCTAATTCCAGCTCCTTGTGGTCTTATGGAATTCCCACTGGGTGCAGCCAGATGTGGTTTCTAAGAATAGCCAGAATTTCTAAGAATAAACACCCCCCCCCCCGTAAAATATTTTCAATATTGGCCTTTATTTAAGACACTCCCCACCCCCCACCCCAATACTGAGTGGGCCAAGCGGATCTGTGTCTCAGGGTGGCCCAGGGATCTCTAGTTGGCCGTCTCTGACTTGAGCCTCATGAGGTACCACGTTCAGTTCCCCATCTGTCCGTGTGAAGTGTAACAAGTGACTTACCATCTCCACATTCACTTGTCTCTTTCCTCAGCATCAGTTTGAGACTTAACTGAGGTAGTACTTACATCGTCTCCCTTGGTGGAAGGTTTGTTGAACTTCCCTGACTGAATTGTTGTCTAAGGACAAGATGACTTTTCTTCTGATTAAACATTTATGGTCTTCCTTCCTAAGAAGGTTAGATGGAGCGAGGAGCATTTTCACCACATACGCGCTAATTTATTTATATAAACATGATAACGGGCTGTGACTCCTGGTCATTAGCTCTTGATTTCTCATTCATTTCTTGGAGAAGGTTATGAACCAGAGGCTTAGGTCATTTGAAGGCCTCTGGGATAATCAATGGAATAATTCTCTGTACTCTGACCAAGCTAGGGTTTTTGAGGTCAGGAATACAGTGTGACAATTTTCAGAAAGGCATGTCTGCTTCAAATTTACATCCACAGATGCTGGCTTGAGTATTTCAAGTTACCCAGAAAGGCTTGCACGTGATAGCCAGGCGCTTCTTGTCAGTGGTGTGTGCATGTTTTGGGTAAATGCCATGATGGTAATGAAAGGTTTGCAAGCCTGTGATACTTGATTCAGCTAAGTGAAGACCTGCGCAGATGGTTGCTCTTTGAGTTAGAAAGTTGGTTTCTAATCTTTGATCGTGGCCCTGGCAGATTCTATATTAGAATCAAGGGCTCATTTACAAACAATTTTATTTTTTACACAAAAATGTCTGTGATTTTATATAAATTTTTTTTTTAAATTTATTTATTATGTACACAGCATGTATGACTGCAGGCCAGAAGAGGGCACCAGTTCTCATTACAGATGGTTGTGAGCCACCATGTGGTTGCTGGGAATTGAACTCAGGACCTCTGGAAGAGCAGTCAGTGCTCTTAACCTCTGAGCCATCTCTCCAGCCCTTAATATGGATTTTTATGGCAAAAATTCTGTGCCTGTAAAACTTAAAAATGTCTTATGGTTATCTTTTTGTTTTTGCTTTTTTGTGCTTTTGAGACAGGGTCTCATGTAGCTGAGGCTGACCTTGAACTCCTGATTTTCCTGCTTCAGCTTCCAGAGTGCTGGGCTTATAAGCATTTGCTACAATGCCCTGATTTGTTAGATTAAATTTTTGCCTGCCTGCCTATCTCCTAGGCATTACTTTCTTACTCCTCCTCCTCCTCCTCCTCCTCCTTCTCCTCCTTTTCTTTTTTTAAAGATTTATTTATTTATTATGTATACAATGTTCTGTTTGCATGTATCCCTGCAGGCCAGAAGAGAGAGCCAGATCTCATTACAGATGGTTGTGAGCCACCATGTGGGTGCTAGGAATTGAACTTAGGACCTCTGGAAGAACAACAGTGCTCTTAACCTCTGAGCCATCTCTCCAGCCCCCACATTACTTTCTTCTTAATTCTTCATCATTTAATTAGAATTTAATTCACAGTTCATACTGGCTCCCAAAATATTTGAAACTCAGTTAATTTTTTAGCAAAATGTCATTTAGACAGAAAGTCTTATTGAAATTGTACTCCAAAACTTTAGACCAACTGTCTTAGTTAGGGTTTCTATTGCTGTGAAGAGACACCACGGCAACTCCATAAAGGGAAACATTTAATTGGGGTGGCTTACAGTTTCGGAGGTTTATATCGTCATGGCAGGAATCCTGGCAGCCTGGTGCTGGAGAAGGAACTGACAGTTCTACATCTTGACCCGAAGGCAGCAGGAGTCTGTGTGCCACACTGGCATGGCTTGAGCATATGAGACCTCAAAGCCACCCCCACAATGACACTTCCTCCAACAAGGCCACACCTCCTAATAGTGCCACTCCCTGTGGGCCAAGCTTTCTAACACATGAGTCTATGGGGGCCATTCCTATTCAAAACACCATACCAGCTAATAATTGGATGTAGGACATGTTTTAAAAAACTGTATCCTGTGTTTTCCATCTTCTATAATGATGAACTTATCACTCAGTCGACTAATGACTAGTTCTGTTTAAAACAGTTTAAAAATGCTGGGCGGTGGTGATGCACATCTTTAATCCTAGCACTTGGGAGGCAGAGGCAGGTAGATCTCTGAGTTTGAAGCTAGCCAGGTCTACAGAACAAGTTCCAGGACAGCTAGGACTGTTATACATAGAAACCCTGTCTTTTAATTAAAAAAAAAAAAAAAGATTAAGAACCAATTACCAAGCTTTCACCAAAACTATTAAAATATAAAAATCTGATTTTCTATCCCATGTCATTTGATGTAGTAAAGAAAGAAAATGTTTTGCCATTAAGTCATAGCTGAATTTCACAAGTCTCTCAGCTTCTTTTGACCCTGCATTATGTTTTAGTACATTTTCTTAATTCTTAAACTTTCTACTTGATACTTGTATTTATAAAAACCCTTATTGTCAATTTTGGCATTAGGAATGAGGAAAGATAAAACCCCAATAGCTAGCTATTGTTCATGCATCTTTCCAGGCCTCAGTAAGCAGGTTTCTTTTATATCACAGACCTCAGTAAGCAGGTTTCTTTTATATTACAGACCTCAGTAAGCAGGTTTCTTTTATATTACAGACCTCAGTAAATGAAAATACTGGGACTTTACAAGTGTGATAAGATCTTGTCTTTTTAAAAAACAAATACTTAAGATTTTTGCAGGCTGAATACTTTGAACTCAGAGCTTGTGCCAATAGCAAGAGCAGCTAGAGTCTGAGGGACCCCCCGTACACACACACACACACACACACACACACACACACACACACACACACACACACACACACACACACACGTTCCCCGGAGGCTGCTTGTCATCATTCTGCCCCTGGACAGGTCAATAGTGGGTTCCAAGCCACCTAGCTGATCTCCCAGGCCCCATTTTTCTAATTTGTGCAATCCAGGTGTTGAACTAGTTTTTCACTGCCCCCCTCCCCCATTCTATTCTGTAGTTCCCTTCTGTACTCAGTGAGCATGCATTATTTTGAAAGTGTGTTTTTTTCCTCTTTTCCCCATTTTCATGTGTGTAAACCTGTATACATGATTGCGTGGGGGGCCCACATGTGTGGAAATGCATGTGCATGTGGTTGGGTGTGCACGTGGAGACTGGGAGTTGATGTCAGAATCCTCCTAGCTGACCCTTCCACCGTATTCACTGAAAGCAGGATCTCTCAGTCAAACCCAGAGCTTGCTGCTGTGGTCAGTCTCAGTAGCCTGCTTGATCTGGGGGCCCCCTGTCTCCAGTTCCCAAGGCTGGAAGTGCTGTAGAGCCACCATGCCCAGTAACAGTATTACAGGTTCTGGGTATCTGAATGTCCTGTCCAGGTACTTGGAAGGCCAGCAGTTTAACCACTAAGCCACCTCTCTAGCCCAAGAGTCATGTTTTAGTACAAGTAGAATTTAGTATTATTACTAACACCCTTTTAAGTAATATTGTGATACAAATGCAACTGTTTTTGCAGCACTTGAAGTTTAAGAAGGGGAGCTTGCCCGATATGGTCAGGCAAGAAAGCAGCACACGGACATTGTGGAAGCTAGAGTTTTAAAAGCTGGGTGTGTAGCTGGTGTATGATTGTATTTCAGTAAGTACAAGGAGATGATGCGGAAAGGCTTGGGAGGCACCCCTTGGAATCCTCACTGCATTTGACCTGTGTGTGGGGAGAACGTGGATGACTTTGGCTTTGTTCTTATATCCCTTTGTGTTTTCAAATGCCTCCAGCTGATGTTTCTAGTTATAAAAATGAGAAATGAGCACAGCTTACAAGGGGGAAAAAATGCAACCGACTAAGTTTCTTAGAAATGCCCTGGAGTCTTCTACCCCAGGGAAATGCCCCCTGCTTCACTGGGGTGCTGGGCGGATGATGTGAAGGCCCTTTGCCATAGGTACAGGATCATGAGAAAGAAATGGAGATGAAGCGATGTGAACTTCGTGAGTTCCTATCTGCTGGGGAAGCCAGTGAACAGGTCTCTCAGCAAGGGCATCATCTACCGTACATAGTGTGTGGTAATTCTCTGAAGTTCCAGCGTGATTCGGGCTCAGAGCTTGTGGCAGCTTTTGAAGGTGTGTTCAGCAGTCCCAGGTGTTACAGCTGCTCACTCAGTGATGGCTACATTGACACCATCAGACAAAAATCAAAGAAGGCTGTTGTTGTTTTTCTTTTTGAGCTATTAATTTGGGGGTTTGGAGGTTTAGTAGGGGTTGTGTCTCTGAGGAAACTGTTTTGTCTTGCTAGCTGGCATTCTTACCACCCAAACATCCGTGCCTTGTGTTATAAACCCTGAGCTATTTAACAGTTTGCTTGCGAAATTACTCCCCTGTGGATTCACACCCACGTGTTAGTTCCTTTTCCCTGGTGACCTTGCCCTCTTGGTCTCTTCTAAAAATAAACACACTCCAAAGTATTGAACAGGGTTTTCTTTCACGCCACTCCTTAATGCTGGAAACTGGTAGAATTGATGTAAGTACTTAGTGATTTCAGCAAAATGCCCTAGGAGTAAGAGAGGAGTAAGGAAAAAACAAAAACAAAGCTAATGACTGACACAGAAATCTACACTGTGTCCAACAGCCCTATCAACGGCCAGAGTTCAATTCCGGAGAGTGGGCGGGCTTTTGTGGCGGCAGGTCCATCCCTCTGGAACGTATTTCCTAAGCCATACTCAACTCTAGTGTCTTATTTGAGCTTTTGAGGACATTCTTAGTAAGAGTGGGTTTGGCTCCCCTAGACATACTCTGCATAGTCTGGTAAGATGAAATGGAAGACGAAGGTTAAAAACTTAAACTGTTCTCATTTCCCGAACTCTCTAGACTGTACGACCTACTTGAATCCAGTTGGGAAGCACATGATTGCTGATGCCCAGAACATCACAATCAGCCAGTATGCTTGCCATGACCAAGTGGCGGTCACCATTCTTTGGTCCCCAGGGGCCCTTGGTAAGTGGTGACACTCATATCCTCTGTGGGGAATGGATGGTGCCAGTCTGAGTGGCCATGTGTGGCGGCCTCTGGGTAAGCAGGTGTCGATGACAGCGAGGCTGAGAGGCGGTCGAGTGGACACAGGGGCACTTCGTGCTCTGTTGTCTCCTCCGGCCAGGCACACATACACAGCTTGGAGCAGTGCCCCGTGGCCTGTGTTTTGTTTCCTTGTTTTAGAGAATCGTGAGTTTGAGAAGACACCGTATTGGTGATGGTTTTCCTTTTAGACAGGGCTTTACCCTGCAGCCCAGACAGAGTGCTTTATTTAGCCTTAGTCAGAGGGAGGTGGTGATGCTGGAGGTCCCCGTGTCCTGTCCAAGGGCATGTGGCTTCCGCCTCCACCAGCAGGGGTCTGTGTCACATGACGTGTGGGCCCACCTTCGGCACATTTTGTGATTTTTAACCGCCCCCCCCCAGGAGAATCCTTGTTTTCATAAGAAAGCATGAAATCAGTGAATTTTTAAAGTTGGAGACCAAGCTGAATTTTTTTTTTTTAAGACCTTTAAGGCCAACAAAACTCAGAGTGAAATAAAGGAATAGAAAGCAAGCAAGCCCACCTTCTCTGGCTGAGTTGCTTGGCTGAGACTGTCTTCTTGAATGAATTGATACCTATGAGAGGGTGGCGCAGTCAAGCCAGGATAACCGAAGATTCCTTTTTTTTTTTTTTTTGGTTTTTTGAGACAGAGTTTCTCTATGTAGTTTTGGTGCCTGTACTGGATCTCGCTCTGTAGACCAGGCTGGCCTCGAACTCACAAGAGATCCACCTGGCTCTGCCTCCCTAGTGCTGGGATTAAAGGCGTGCGCCACCACCACCCGGCTGTTAAGATTCTTTTTTTCTTTTTTCTTTTTTTTTTTTTTTAGATTTATTTATTTATTATGTATACACTTTTCTACATGCACATATGCCTGCAGGCCAGAAGAGGACACCAGATCTCATTATAGTTGGTTGTGAGCCACCATGTGGTTGCTGGGAATTGAACTCAGGACCTCTGGAAGAACAGCCCATGCTCTTAACCTCTGAGCTACCTCCCTTAACCTAAGATTCTTTGAACCCATTCAAGTGAATTTGATGAGCAAAATTTCTTTCTGTTTATTTGATTTTTATTTTTTGAGACAAGTGATTAATTGTGGCTGGCCTCAAACCCACTTTGTCATCCAGGATGTCATCCAGGATAGCCTCCAAACCCTGATCTTCCTGCCTCCACAGGTCTCCACTTCAAAAGTGCTGGGAGGAAAAAATGTGTCCCAGCATATCCAGCAGCTAGCTCCCTCTTGTCTTTTGAGACATGGCCTGGCTATGTGGCCAGCGCAGGCCTTCTGCTCGCTCACCGTCTTTCCTGCCGGAGCCTCCCAAAGCCTGGGGTCCTCTGTCTGTACTGCCACGCTTGGTTGCGATTGGCCTTTCACAGGAGGCATTTAGACTGGTAGAGCCCTAGTTTCCCCGAGTGCCAAGTGGGGGTGGAGATTGCCTTGTGGTTGGTGGCCAGAGAAAGTTGTCGGACACCAACTGATCAGAGCCTCCGTCCCAGCCCTGCACTGGCCCTCTGACTTTGCACTGGTCGTGGACACTTTTTTTTTAGCACTTGTCCGGGGAGAAGTAAAAGCCTAGTTTTCTTTCCTTTTAAAAAAAAATGATTTATTTTTATTTTATGTGTGTTGATATTTTGCCTGCATATTATATCTGTGTGAAGGAGTCAGATCCCCTAGAACTGGCCTTACAGACAGCTGTGAGCTTCCATGTGGGTGCTGGGGATTGAGCCTGGGTCCTCTGGAAGAGCAGCCAGTGCTCCTAACCGCAGAGCCATCTCTCCAGCCTCAAGGCTAGATTTCTTAATCTGAACAAGAATAAATCTCAGAACTATAGTGTAGTAGTGAGAGAAAGGGAGAGGAAAGATGGAGGTGTTGGGCCAGCCTGTCCACATAAATACTTCTGCGTCTAAACCTTATGTGTTTTCCAAAGGTCATTTTATCTTAACATTTAAAGATTGAAAATATTCTCTGGATAGAAGAAGTGGTCATTCCCCTTTAAATGGCTAAGCCTTGATCTGACCAACTGCAGGCTCCCTCTTTAGAAAGAGAGTGAGGCGTGGGTTAGTGGGGGAAGAGGGATAATGATTTACGGTGGGCTGGGGGTGGAGTGGGCAGGTTCTAGCAAGTCGGTTCCTCGGAAGTCAGGAAAGCCCATGGATTAAGGGCCCTGGCTGAGAGCTCAACACTTCCTGGCTCTATCCTTTGTTTACCATGAGATCCCAGGGCCCAGTTAGTTTCTCTAAACCTCTCCTCAGTCAGCTGCAAATGGGAATAATGGTGCCCACCTCCCATGCTTGTTAGAGTCCTTCATCAACACGAGAGGGAGAGAACAAGTGTGCTTCTCCAGGGGAGGTCTCTCTGTCAGGGGGCTGATCCTCACACAGCCTCACAGTGTTAACGGGCTCAGGATAGATGTGTATTAGGAATTATATCTGCTGCCTCCGTCTCCTCTCAGCCCAGATTTGGTATTATGATTTTCAGTCTGGCCTTTGAGGAACAAGGCCCAGGTCTATCCATCGATGCTGCATACCCGAGCTGATCCATTTTTAAGTAATTGTGAGAGGCTTTGCCTTTAATCCTGAGTCACTTGCCTTTTGTTAACAATCTTTCTGGAAACATTGCATGAATCACATCTTAGTTTTTAGGTAGTAAAGATTTGTTCAAACATCATTTCTTTTTCAGTCTCAAAAGGCAATCTCCCGCGAGGTTAAATAGTTGGTCCTACAGAGATGTTGTATCATGTCATCGTGTCTGAATCTCTGTTTGTGGATCCACTGACTATCACCCCACAGGAAGCTTTGTGATTAACAAAACGCCATGCACCATAGAACTCCCAGGTTCTACACTATGAGGCTCTAATTTGGCTTTTCTGCCTGAACCACCATGAAATATGTGCTCTTCATCAAATAATTATAGAATTGGAGGAGCTATTCAAAGGAGAAAAAGATTTCTGTGACCTTTGCCATCAATAATTTCCCCACCTGGTTAATTGCATCCTGTGTAATTACTTCTGCCCTGGGAGGGGAAGGGTTGAAAATGTCTCCTTGTCTGGTGTTCAGAAGGAATGTGAAATCGATATCTCGACAATCAAGGCCAGCTTTGGGGATCTCCAGCTGCACTTGAGCCACTCCAGTCTCCATGGGATACAGAGCCCCAGTGCTGGCTCCTGTGGCTATCAGAGCTTAATCCTCCTGAAAGCATCTAGTCAGACGTGCAGTGGGAGGAAGGAAGCTCAGGTGGTGAGGCTGGGCCGCCGCCTTTCAGTAGCACTGTGGGTGTCTTGGGGCCCTGAGGACTGTATTCGGAGCACACACTGGGCAGCCCTCAGGTGTCTGCATTTCAGGCATGATTAGAGGAAGACCAGCATTCCCCTAAAATATTTAATCCCAAGCCTAGGAACGAACCCCTTTGGGTGCAGACATACACTTCATTGGGAATTTTGTTAAGTTCCCAGTGAAATATATCCAGAAAGTATATAGCTAAAACTTCAGATTAAAAACAAAGTTTGAGGGCATTCACTGGGAATTACTGTCAGCTCAGTGTGCCTGAAATTATACATTCCACTATAGACATTGCGATCAGTTTAGACTTGAGCCTAAATATTGAATCCAAGTGTCACAAAAGCAATAGATGTTTGTCCCAGTGGCCGAGTGGGCTAGAGAACGTATTAGGTACAGTGATCACTCACCCTGTCCCAGAGGAGTGAATGAAGGTTGTGCATTCTGTTCTGTAGACACGCTGGCAGAGGAGGATGTTCCTTTAGCTTTGGTGTAGAGCTGGAGAGGCTGCGACCTTGGAGGAGGGAAAGGGTGTCCCGAAGTAAGTAGGTCTGCATTTCCTAAAAGCCTCTGCTTTGCTTAGGCATTGAATTCCTAAAAGGATTTCGAGTAATACTGGAGGAGCTGAAGTCGGAGGGGAGGCAGTGCCAACAACTGATTCTAAAGGACCCGAAACAGCTCAACAGTAGCTTCAAAAGGACGGTAAGTCACCCTCAGGGAATGTGCCCCTGAAGACACCATTGTTCCAGGGGTCTGAATGGTCTATTGAAAGTCTGAAATTGGAGAAGGTGGGGGCGGCTGTGGGGTCCACAGCCCAGCCAAGGTGGGCGAGAATAGGAGGCAGCAGCCGAGCCTGCCACACTCCCAGGAAAGCCCTTCAGCAGGGCTCTTCAGCTGTAGTAAACACACCTCTCTGGTTACACGGAAGCAGCAGCTATCCCAGGTGTCTGTGGGCTCGCCCTTCGCTCCCTCCAGCTCTGAGACTCAGTACTGAGGTGCCATGCTTTCTTGTCTAAGAACAGACAGCCCTGTCCATCTTTAGCATCGGGGATCCAAACCCAAGCTCAGTCCCTCAAGCAGACCCGACTTTCTTCTCTCCTGGGATCTGCTCACCCTGGAATTGTGTCTTTTGTAGGTGGGGGTGGGGGTAGGGGCGGAGGTGGACAATTCCTCCACACTACTGTGTCTTTGTTCCCTTTTAGGGAATGGAATCTCAGCCTTTCCTGAATATGAAATTTGAAACGGATTACTTTGTCAAGATTGTGCCCTTTCCTTCCATTAAAAATGAAAGCAATTACCATCCTTTCTTCTTCAGAACCCGGGGTGAGTATTGTCTTTCCTGCCTGGCTCCCAAAGGAGTCATTTCTACTTCCATTGATCTTTCCACAGACGTATTTACAAACACACCAGATACTGATGTGAAGTAAGCAGGGTGAGAAGCAAATTCACATTTAAAAAAAGAAAAATGGGACAAGGTTTCTCTACAGTCCATGCTGCCCTGGAATTCAACAGGTAGCCCAGGTTAGAATAAACATCATGTCAGTCTTCCTGCCTCAGCCTCATGAATGCTAGGATTACAGGCATGAGCCACTATACCAGCTCAGAAATGCATTTTCAAACATAAAGGCTAAGGGCTGGAGAGTTGACTCAGTACTAAGTACAGGTTCTTCTTCCAGAGGATCTGGGTTTGATTCCCAGCTCCTGCTTTGGCAGCTCACAACCATCTGTAATTCTAGTTCCAGAGATCTAGTGCCCTCTTCTGACCTTGGTGGACACCAGGCACAGACATACATGCAGGCAAAACACCCATGCATCTATAGCTCAGTGGTAGAGTGCTTACCTAATATGTGCTGGATTAGCAGTTATTTGCTGGACATGGTAGTATAGTCACAGGTTTTCATCGGGACCACAATCAGATCTGTTCTGTCATCCACTTTTTAAATAACCACACAGAGACTTAATAGTCATTATAAATGCTCAGCCAACAGCTTAGGCTTGTTACTAGCCAACTCTTAAAACTTAAATTAACCCATTTCTATTAATCTACATTCTACCACGTGGCATTACCTCTCTTTCATCTTACACCTCCTGTTTCCTCTCTCTGTGTCTGGCTGATGACTCCTCTGACTCTGCCTTTCTTCTTCCCAGTGTCCTTAGTCTGGTTTTCCCACCTAACCTTATCCTGTCCAGCTATTGGCCAGTCAGCTTCTTTATTAAACCAATCACAGTGACACATATTTACACAGTGTAAAGGAATATCCCACATGGCAGCACATGCCTGTAATCTCAGCACTCAGGAGGGAGAAACAGGAAGATCACTGCAAATCTGAGGACAGTTTGACCTATGTAGACTGGGCTGCATACCAAGATCCTAGCCTAATACAAAGAAAACACACCAACAAAAACATTAGGCCAGGCCCAACTGGAGACAGCTCTCTCTGCTTCGTTTTAGATCACGCATGGTGGTTTATTTACATATTGTTTCTCATTTGTTTATTTGTTTGTTTTTTATCTACTTATTAGTAAGAAAAGGCCTTACTCTGGAGGCTTGATTCTAGAACCTAGTTATATAGTTAAGGCTGACCTCAAACTTACAACAGTCCTGCCCCTGCCTCCCAAGTGGGGTTACAAACATATGCTGCCATGCCAGATGTCAGCTGATATTTTAAAACATTTATTATTATTATTAATTAATTATTGTTTTTGGTTTTTTTTTGTTTTTAAAACAGGGTTTCTTTGTGTAGCCCTGGCTATCCTAGAACTCACTCTGTAGACCAGGCTGCTCTTGAATTCACAGGGACTGGCCTTTGCCTCCCAAGTACTAGGATTAAAGGCATGCACCACCATGCCTGGCTAAATTATATGTATTTTGTGTGCATATGTATCGGGGGGGGGGGGGGGGTGCCACAGTGTGTGTGTGTGTGTGTGTGTGTGTGTGTGTGTGTGTGTGTGTGTGTGTGTGTATAGGCACCATGGTGTGGTGTAGAGATCAGAGGAGAACTTGAAGGAGTTGGTCTTTTCCTTCTACCATTTGGGTCCTAGGGAATCACACTCAGGTCATCAGCCTTGGTGGCAGATGCCTTTACTTTCCAAGCTGTCTCACCGGCCCAACATTTGTCTTTTGGCAACACTGTGGTCACCATGAACGCATCCATGTATAAAAGCAATGTGATACTTGTTGGCGGGTGTGATTTTTGTAATTTGCTTGTAGAGAACTTGCCTAGCTTGCACAAGGCCCTCTGATCTCCAGCATTAAAGGGAAAAAAAAGGTTGAGAGGTGACTTAAAAACAAACAAAAACAAAAACACAGCCTAGGACTAAAAGGTGTAAGTTGATTTTTGAAGTAAAGGGTAAAAAGATAAAATGTTGTAACATCGCCGGGCGGTGGTGGCGCACGCCTTTAATCCCAGCACTCGGGAGGCAGAGCCAGGTGGATCTCTGTGAGTTCGAGGCCAGCCTGGACTACCAAGTGAGTTCCAGGAAAGGCGCAAAGCTACACAGAGAAACCCTGTCTCGAAAAACCAAAAAAAAAAAAAAAAAAAAGATTAAAAAAAAAATGTTGTAACATCATGAGGGTGGTCAGGATGAGGGTAAAAGCAGTATCTCAGGCTGGCAAGGTGGCACAGGGATCCGCTTGCCAGGAAGCCTGACCACTTGAGTTCAGTTCACAGGATCCACATGAGAAAAGAGAGAACCAGCTCGGTAAGATGAATGATGTAACACGAATTGCTAAACAGTCTTATTAATAAAAAACCCGGAGACAGATATTGGGCTGAAAGCTGAAAGATCACAGGGATAGAACAAGCCACAGCCGCAAGTTCTTACCGCTAGGAAATCCTCAGCCCAAGAGAGAGCTACTTCCTGTATACTCACACCTATGTACCTTTCTGTGCCCTGCCATCTTACTTCCTCTCTCCACCCAGCTACATCACTTCCTCTTTCTGCCCAGGTCTATCAATTCCTGTCTGTCTGTACAGACCTCCAGACCTCTATGGTTAACTAGTGTTGGGATTAAAGGCATGTGCCACACCACGCATGGCTCTGTTCCCAGTGTGGCCCTGAACTCAGACCTGGATGGATCTCTGCCTTCCGAATGCTAGGATTAAAGGTGTGTGCTACCACTGCCTGACCTCTATATTTAAAATAGTGGCTGGCTTTTTCCTCTGATCCCCAGATAAGCTTTATTGGGGATAATATATAGTAAATAAAATAAAATATCACCACACAACTCTCCAAAGTTGTCCCCTGATGTTCTGACCTCTACATGTGGGCTGTGGCATGCATATGCCCCACATATAAAATAAACAATGTAATTTGAAAAATCTACACCTAAGACCACTTTTTTCTAGAAAATTTTTACAAAATTAGCACTAAAGTTTATCCAGTCTCTATTCTAAATGCTGTCTAAATATTGGTGTAGCCCACCTCTGTAATCCTCCTTCCATGAAAACCCCCTCCCCCATACACTCAGTAGCTGTGCGCTCACACACAGAGAGGGCCAAGGGCTTGGCTGAGAAGTGCAGTTCTGAAGCCCACGCTGCTGGCTGCCAACCGTGCCGGCTTTCCATTTGTTCACCTTCCTCATTTATTCCGTACGTGGCTTCTCTTTCATCTCCCCGCATGGCGGCTTTGAAATTTCACGGCTAGTCACCATGAGACCTCCAGTGGCTTCCTCCTGCCTCCTGATCAGACTTCTCACCTGGGGTTCTAGGTCTTGGATGGCCAGCTCTCTGTCTAGGTTGGCCTCCCCTTTCCTTGTGACTGGTCTTGTTGTATTCCTCATCTATGAGATGTTTGGTCTCAGCCCTAGCCTGTATCCATGTTCCCTTTTGCCAAATTCTTTTCTTTGGTTGGTTTTGGTTTTTTCGAGACAGGGTTTCTCTATAGCTTTGGCTGTCCTGGAACTCGCTCTGTAGCCCTGGCTGGCCTCAAACTCACAGAGATCCACCTGCCTCCCGAGTGCTGGGATCAAAGATGTGCACTGCCACCACCACTGCCCTTTGAAGTTGTTTTTTGTTGTTGTTGTTGCTTTATTTTGTTGTTTGTTTTTATTTTGTGTGCACTGGAGTTTTGCCAGCATGTGTGTTTGTGTGAGGATGTCGGATCCCCTGTAACCGGGGTTGCAGACAGTTGTGAGCTGCCATGTGGTTGTTGGGAATTGAACCTGGGTCCTCTGGAAGAGTAGTCAGTGCTCTTAACCGCTGAGGCATCCCTCCAGCCCTTTTGTCATATTCTTAATGAGGTTGTTTTCTATGCTGCCAACTTACCTTGTATTTCCTATTTTTCTAATTAAAATGATATTCGCCGGGCCGTGGTGGTGCACGCCTTTAATCCCAGCACTCGGGAGGCAGAGGCAGGCGGATCTTTGTGAGTTCGAGGCCAGCCTGGTCTACAGAGGGAGCTCCAGGAAAGGCGCAAAGCTACACAGAGAAACCCTGTCTCGAAAAACCAAAAAAAAAGATATTCATTAGGTCAAGACCATGTGCAGGTCACATCTGTTGTTACTTTCCACATACTGATCAGATAGAAGACTCAAAGAATGTGTTTATGAGAAATTGTGTCTAAAACTTAGAATGCATGTGAAGGTTGAAATAACATCCCTCCTGTGTGTAGACGTCTCCACAGTGGGGCATCCTGAGTGACAGAAGTATGAAGAGCTCCACTGCCTTTGGAGCCTTGAAGCTCTGCAGTATCAGACAAGCTTTAAAAACTTTGGTGGCTTTACACTACTTCCACCATGTGGCGTGAAATGTTCGGCGTTAATATTTGTATGTTTTCTCATTTAAATTTTTATTAAGATACAACATAATTGTAATGAAAATCATTGTTGAATTGATGTACCTTTTCTAGCACACCAAGCTCAGTATATATTTTGTTCAGTTTTTATAGAAGGGAAACATCAAACTGTCCTGAAACTAAAAATAGCCTTTTTTTTTTTTTTTTTTTAAACATAATAGCCTGCGACCTATTGTTACAACCGGACAACATGGCCTGTAAGCCCTGTAAGTACAGCTGTCTGTTAAGTCTCAAAGCGTTACCCCATATGGTGTGGAGCAGCCTTTGGGTGCTTACTGGGTCCCTTCCTCCTCACAGTCTGGAAGCCTCGAAATTTGACTATCACCCAGCACGGTTCAGACGTGCAAGTGTCCTTTGACCACGCACCGCATAACTTCGGCCTCCGTGGCTTCTATCTTCACTATAAACTCAAGCATGAAGGTCCCTTCAGGCGGAGGACGTGCAAGCAGGTGAGTGACTGCGTGTGTAAGGAACACACATGTTTGAAAGTGATAGTGGGTGGCTGAGGTAAGTGTTAAGCTCCTGTGGTCAGTGGATGTTTAGGAATGTTCACCGCTGGGTCTGTCTCTAGCCTACTTACCATTGATTGCTCTTAGTTATCCCCACTTTGGATGTTTTGGGGTGACACAGAACCAAGGCATCCAAAGCATAGGCATTTCTAGTTTGTATTGTGTTTTAAGCATCTGCCAGGTGCTGGGTGGCAATCCCAGAGCTTTCTGCTCTTCAAATCCTGACTGCTCATCAAACAGCCTGCTTCCGTTCATCCTTTGTAGGTGGAAAATCTGGGGCTCAAGGAGGTCACTTGCCTTGCTGGAGGTCAATAGCTAGGAAGTGGAAAACATAGATCTTGAGCCAAGTCACTAGCAGATCAATGGCCCTTGTTTGTTTTGTTTTTTGTTTTTAAACTAAGTGTATCAAAACCAGTGGCAAGTTTCCTTCAGCTTCAGGAAGAAGAGGACTGAGGCCTTTTCTAAGGTGAGCATTTGAATTGCTGTTTGCTTCTTTGTAGGACCAGAACACAGAGACAAGCAGCTGCCTCCTCCAAAATGTCTCTCCCGGGGGTTATGTCATTGAGGTACGTACAGTCATAGAATGCCCTGTTGTTAGGTCCACAGGAAGCAGTTCCCATAGAATTTCGAGTCTTTGGCTTGTTTGTTTTAAGACTGAGTCCCATGTAGCTCAGGCTAGTCTCAAGCTCCCTTTAGAGCTGGGATGACTTTGAATAACTAACGTCTCCTGTCTCTTCCTCCTGGGATAATAGATGCTCACACTATGCTCCTGGCTTTTATGCAGGCCCTGGGGGTCAGGTCTTCAAGCTTGCACAATAAATACTTTTATCGGTGGAGGCAGCTCCCCAGCCCCTTCTTTTTTTAAAACGGTTGACTTAGAAAGTGTTGAACTGCCGCTGTGCTCCCACCTCCTGGTGACGGGAAGCAGGGAAGTCACGGTTCTCTCCATCCCCGTGGGGAGACTCTGTAGTGACATGGCACTCTCTGTTCCGCAGCTGGTGGATGACAACAACACAACCAGGAAAGTGGTTCAGTACGCGGTAAGGCCAGGTACGGCGCTCCGGCTTGGGTCTGCGCTCACACGAGTCTCTCGAGCAGGCTTCTAGTATTTTCTGTACTCTGTACGTCTTGGTTCACAAAACAACACAGCCGCCGCCTCTTCTCTCTCAAACGATGGCTCACCAAGTGAGTCCCCTTCCACATTCATGTTGGGGCCTTGAAGATCCAAGCGGGCATGGCTTCTGCCGCCGGCGGCCCGCCGCCGAGCCTCGGCGATTGTCCTTGGAAGGAAAGTGGTAGGGAGGAGGGCTTTCCTGAGGCGAAGTTCTCACTCCCGGGTATCTACTGTCCTAGCACGTTCAGAACTATTGAATAATTCTTTTCTACAACCCTTGAAAAACAGCTGTGGAATCCTTTTGGAATCACCACAGCAGAGCCAGAGTGAGGTGGTTGGGGACCCTGGAACCTGTGAGTCAGCTTATGTTTAAAAACAAAAAGGGAACCAACCCCGCCCCCTCCCCTTCTTTGAGCCCGTTTTGCCGCTTAAGTTTAACAGCTTTCCCTTTGAAATCTCCCAGTGCACTCTCCCTGGGCTGGACCCATCAGAGCCGTGGCCATCACTGTGCCTCTGGTTGTCATCTCGGCCTTCGCCACGCTTTTCACTGTGATGTGCAGAAAGAAACAGCAAGGTATCTGTCTCTCTGTGCAGGCCCTCTCCTCCCCACCCTTCGGGTGCCGTCTCTCTGTGCAGGGCCCTCTCCTCCCCACCCTCTAGTTTGTGGCAAGTCGAGGGCAGGTGCCAACGAAGAAGGCGCCTGGGAAGCCCTGGTTCCTCCAGGAGGGGCCTGGGGCACCTCAGACGTCCTTGCCAGCTCCTTGCCTACTCAGGTTCCCAGAATCCAAATATCTGGCTGTTAATTTCTAGGACCTGGCAATGGACAGGCATATTACCCCGTTCTCAAACTCAGGAAGTCTGAAGTCTGAGAACGGAGTCATGGAGGGCTTCATCATTGATGAGTTAGGCATTTCACCTGGAAAACTGTAGGCGAGCCATATCTTGGTCCGTCTGGGTGGGGTCACTCAGGTGTAAACTTACAAAAAAGTCGTGAAGATGTTCACTTGAGACTTGTGTACTCTAAGCTAAGCACGGTGGGGCATCCTCGGTATCCCAGCTACTTGGAGGCTAACGCAGGTGGATCGCTTCAATCCAGGAACTGGAGGCTAGCCTGGGCAATAGGGTGAGACCTTTGTCAAGAAAAGAGAAAAGTCCTTTTGTTGTTGTTTTGGTATGCTTCACTTTTTCCAAATTATCCGTAAACAATTCTCCTTCCCCGAGCTAATCCTCTAGTTGATGAGGTTGTCAGAGCTCTTCACTGATGTGAGTGACTGCTGCTGCAACATTTCTTGACACATCCAAGGGCAGTTTCAGGTTAAAACCGTTTTTTTTCACTTCCGGGGAGACCACTGCAGAAACTGACTGTCTCGTTCACAGTGCAAGTTGAGGCTGATGGAGTCGGAGACCAGAGACTCCCTAGATGGAGATGTCAGCTGTTCCTTTTGGTAAATTTACTTTTGAGACCAGATCTGATGTAGCCCAGGCTGGCCCCCAGCTTGCTGTGTAGCTGAGGATGGTCCTGAACTTTTTGCCTCCGCCTCCCAAGTGCTGGGATTCCTGTTGTGGGCCACGGTGCCTCAGCTTAGCCGCTCATTCCTGAGACTCGGGTCATGTGGAAAAAGACAAAGCTTTGTTTATAGGTGTCAACCTTATCTTCTCTCCCAATTTAGAAAATATATATTCACATTTAGATGAAGAAAGCCCGGAGTCCTCCACATACGCAGCGGCTCTCCCCAGAGACAGGCTCCGGCCACGGCCCAAGGTCTTCCTCTGTTACTCCAGTAAAGATGGCCAGAGTCACATGAATGTGGTCCAGTGTTTTGCCTACTTCCTCCAGGATTTCTGTGGCTGTGAGGTGCGGAATCCAGTTTCTTCTCTTGCTCTGGGCAGGATATGAGCTCCATCTTCCTTTTCAATGCCTTCTCCTCTCCAGTGCTTTCTGGAAACCTGCTTTTGCCCAGTGCTTTACTTTCCAAACCAGGATCAGTCTGAGTTTGTCCTATCTGTCACCAGCAGGAAATGTTATGATACATTCTTGCTTGACCCTTGAGTGGCATCCACATGGTAGGACGTTTTTTGAGTGCTGCAAAGGGGTGCCCTGCCATGGAACACGTGACCAGAATGTGAGATTGTCACCTGACATCATGATGAGCGCCTGCAGGATCAAAGCCTCAGTGGTGGGCATCGGGAGAGAAGGGCAAAGACAGCTTTTAGGAGTGTAGGCAGTTCTCTGAAGGAGTTTTGCTGAGATTGGGAATGGAGGATGGACTGTCCTTGGAAGAGATCTTGGAGACTGGGAGGGCTGAGGTTGATTCGTATGTCATGGAAAGGGAGAAACCAGTGAGAAGACGGTGGCTAGAGAGAACCAGGGAGTGAAAGGAGAGGGCTCCAGAATTTGCCAAGTGTTTGAATGTCTACACGGGTTTCCTAGCTCTCTCCTCCGGCTCTGCCTCCTCCTTTTTTGGTTTTTCTCACTATGTAGTTCTGGCTGTCCTGGAATCCATATGTAGACCAGGCTGACCTCTAATTCACATACCTCTGTCCCCAAGTGCTGGGATTAAAGGCTTGAGCCCACATACCCAGTTTTCTTAGCCCCTCTTAACCATGAACATGTAGCTTTTCTGTAGACAACGACGCTTAATTTTTAGAGTGAGCGAAGTCTGAAACTATTGTGGAAGGCATACCATCTGTTTGTCACAAAAGCAGTTATGTGATGTTTTGTAGTTCCTTTACTTTGAACTGCCATTTGGCCCATTTCTTTGGTGAGAGTGCCCTCTGGTGTTAATAAAATGTATTTACAAACTGGTGGGATTTCCTCCTGTGGGGGGAAGCCTTGAGCCTAGCAGGTGAACGAACTGCCACAGCAGCCAGTGGCCTGACATGCTCAGACAGCACAGGCGTGAGTGGTGTATTTGTGCCCTGTTCTTTTGTACATAGATGAGATTGCACATAAAGTTTGTTTTTTTAAATAGCTGCGCCATCCACGATATTGACTTACCATGCCTGAGTTAGTCCAGGTTGTTGAACTTCTTGCTCTCTGGGCTGGCCCATTTCTGATGATTTCTCCATCATCAGAACACCCCACATTGCAATTGCTCAGCCAGAGATAGAAAGGTATGTTTTCAAAAGCACTTATGTTTTGTTTATTAAGATGAAATCAGCCCTGGACAGAGTTTTTACAGTTTTGTAAAATATGCCACACGTGGCTTAACAAAACACAGATCAAAAAGATTAGTACAACTGTTTTTGTATGATATATAAACCTAGAGGCTATGTATTTTTAAAATACCCAGTTAGGCTGGGTGGTGGTGGCACACGCTTTTAATCCCAGCACTCGGGAGGCAGAGGCAGGAGGATGTCTGTGAGTTCGAGGCCAGCCTGGTCTACAGAGTGAGATCCAAGACAGGCACCAAAACTACATAGAGAAACCCTATCTCGAAAAATCAAAAACCAAAAAAATCGGTTAGCTTGAATTTGTATAATGTTAATAGAGTATGAGCTGATTCAGTATTTTTTTTTTTTAGCAAATGGTAGATGTTGGGGCTTTCTTCTCTTGGGTACCATTTTAGAACAGGAGAATGAAGTCCTTCCAGAATGCCCCTCCCCTGGATAATCCGTGTTTAGCTGTTAGGAATTAATTTTTGAGCTACTGGAGAAATGGTGCCGGTACAGCTGACAAGGAATGCTCCTTACAGTTTCGGATGAAAGCTGTTGGAGAGGTGAAATCCTTTGAGAGGCTCACACGTACTTGGCTTTCTTTCCTTTACCAGAGATTCCACTGCTCTCTTGTCCCTCTTCCCCCCAAACCCTCCGGTTCACAGGGCTTGTCAAGCTTGTAGACCTCTATGAAACGGTAGAGGACAGTACTTAATCCAGACAGCGTTAACCAGAGACCACACCACAGCAGCGGGACAGTGGGCTAACCCTGGGTCTATGAACATGGCCACAGAGGCCCTCTTTCCTAGTCACACGCTGCATGTGAGTCACCTGTCACTGTGGGTGGCCCTGGCACCAGGTCCAAGCCCCATTTCCCAGTACACTCTGGGGTCACTCTCCACATCCTCTTCTCAGAGCCTTTTAGCCTCGTCCCCAGGGTCTTTCTGCTCTTTAGATCTGGAAGCCCCACTCATTATACACACTGTTCTCAATTCCTCCCCATTCTGTGCTCTCTCTCATAGTGCGGGTTCCATTGAGGACATTCTCAAGGTGTCTTAGACAAGTTGCTGGAAACCCTGGCTTCTGTCTCTTCACTTGTAGGGCAGCAGTGCTAATGACCCAACACGTTATGGAGGTGATGTCATGGATGGCAGGCACTTCAGGAAGTCTGGTGTGGGAATGCAGTTGCTAACCTCAGAGCTTTAGCTGTGTGTGTGTGTGTGTGTGTGTGTGTGTGTGTGTGTCTGCACATATCCCTGCTAATAATGGCTAAGGGGCAGACTATGGGACCTCACTCACTGGTATTCCAGTCGTCTTTCTGGACGTTGGTGTAAATAAGCAGTGAGGTGACCTGTCCTCTTTCCAGGTGGCTCTGGACCTATGGGAAGATCTCAGCCTCTGCAGAGAAGGGCAGAGAGAATGGGTCATTCAGAAGATCCACGAGTCCCAGTTCATCATTGTCGTGTGCTCCAAAGGCATGAAGTACTTCGTCGATAAGAAGAACTACAAACACAAAGGAGGCAGTCGAGGCGCGGGCCAAGGAGAGCTCTTCCTCGTGGCTGTGGCCGCCATTGCCGAAAGGCTCCGTCAGGCCAAGCAGAGTTCATCCGCAGCACTGAACAAGTTTATCGCTGTCTACTTTGATTATTCCTGTGAAGGAGATGTCCCCTGCGTTCTGGACCTAAGCACCAAATACAAGCTCATGGACAACCTTCCCGAGCTGTGTTCCCATCTGCACTCAGGAGAGCACAGCCTTCAGGGGCTGGCTCAGCACCCAGGACACAGCAGTAGAAGGAACTACTTCCGGAGCAAGTCTGGCCGTTCCTTGTATGTTGCCATTTGCAACATGCACCAGTTTATCGATGAGGAGCCTGATTGGTTCGAGAAGCAGTTTATACCCTTCCATCCTCCCCCGGTGCGCTACCAGGAGCCGGTCCTGGAGAAGTTTGACTCAGGTTTGGTTTTAAATGATGTCATAACCAAACCAGGGCCAGAGAGTGACTTCTGTCTAAAAGCTGAGGCTTCTATACTTGGGGCCCCTAGGCCAGCTGACTCATACTCGTACCTGGAAAATCAGCATGCAAGCCTGGACCAGGATATTGAGGCCCAGCCCATCTGCGAGAGTGGCCCTGCCTTGCCCCTGTTGCATGCGGTGAAAGCTGGCATTCCCTCGGATATGCCACGGGACTCAGGCATATATGATTCCTCTGTGCCCTCATCAGAGTTGTCTCTGCCTCTGATAGAAGGACTCTCCCCTGACCAGATGGAAACATCTTCCCTGACCGAGAGTGTATCTTCCTCCTCTGGCCTAGGTAAGATGCCCTGGGACTGGGCCCTCATTTTATCTATCAATCTATCTATCTGGACTGGGCCCATTTTATCTATCTATCTATCTATCTATCTATCTATCTATCTATCTATCTGAGATAAGATGCCCTGGGACTGGGCCCTCATTTTATCTATCAATCTATCTATCTGGACTGGGCCCTCATTTTATCTATCTATCTATCTATCTATCTATCTATCTATCTATCTATCTATCCATCCATCCATCCATCCATCCATCCATCCATCTATCTATCTTCCTCCTCTGGCCTAGGTAAGATGCCCTGGGACTGGGCCCTCATTTTATCTATCTATCTATCTATCTATCTATCTATCTATCTATCTATCTATCTATCTAGGCCCTCATTTTTATCTATCTATCTATCTATCTATCTATCTATCTATCTATCTATCTAGGCCCTCATTTTTATTTATCTATCTATCCATCCATCCATCCATCCATCCATCCATCCATCCATTGGTTGTTGTATTTTTTTTTTTTTTTTTTTTTTTTTTTTGGTTTTTCGAGACAGGGTTTCTCTGTGTAGCTTTGCGCCTTTCCTGGGACTCACTTGGTAGCCCAGGCTGGCCTCGAACTGGTTGTTGTATTTTTGAGACAGGGTCTCACTATGCAACTCTGACTATCCCGGAACTCACTGTGTAGACCAGGCTGACCCCGAACTCACAGAGATCCACCTGCTTCAGCCTCCTGAGTGCTGGGATTAAAAGTGTGCACCACTATGCCTGTCTAGGGATTGGGCTCTTGATACAGGCCATATAGCCTTTGGCCACACTTTTGAAAGCCATCCCCAATTTAGGTACCTTATTGGGCAGTGAAACCTGATAGGAAATAACATAACTCCTCTGATAGTCTTGATTTATTCCAGGTAAGGGGGGAATATTGAACTGCAGAAATGATGATGATAAATTATGGTGAGCTGCACACAGTATTGCCTTTAGGAAAAAAACAAACCACGTTTATTTTCTGTGTGCACACACACATGGGGTGGGGGCGGGGCATGTGCCATGGCAGACGTGTGGGGCTCAAAGGAAAACTGGTGGGAGTCGATTCTCTCCTTCCACCATGTGGGTCCCACAGATTAAACTCAGGTTGTCGGGCTGGGTGGCAGTCTCCTAACTCAGAGTCACCTCACCAGCCCTGCATTGCCTTTCTACACTGGGGAAAGGTTGGAATACCAAGACACATGCACTGCGCAGGTTCATGAGTGCAGTATTTTCCATCCTAGCTTCACACAGCACCCCAGGTAGGAGGGCTCGTTCCCAGAGAGCCTCGGGAATCTGCCACACCTGTAACTTTTTGGGGCCATGCTTGCGAAACTTTGGCCTTAAAGGGAAGGCTCTTCCTTCCTCTCCTAAGGGGACTAGATCCTGTTAGGAGGATGAAAGAGTTGGTCTGAGCTGGTTCTGATGTCTGCCTCTGGTACAACATACAAGAGCGAATCCCAGCCATGTTGTGGCATCGGGGCCTGGACCAGTGAAATGCACTGACCGTGTAGCTCTGTCCTTTCTTCTCTCCATAGGTGAGGAGGACCTCCCTACCCTCCCTTCCAAGCTCCTCGCCTCTGGGGTGTGTAAAGAAGAACATGGTTGCCACAGCTATACTGATGAACTCCAAGTGGCTGCCCCTTTGTAAGCACATGGGAGCATCTAAGCATCGCCACTTTAACGGCTGCTGCTTGGGTTTCCCAGCTCACCTCTGTGTTGTGCAGCCTGCCTGGGGCTGAGGGCTCACACAAGGATATCTGGAATGAAATTCTGGCCAGTACTCAATCCTGTCTGCTCCGGCCTTCTAATAGATATTTAGCAGAGTCTCCGATTTCCCGAAAGCATACGGAGCTCTCCAAGGCATGTCCATTAGAGCAGCCGGCAGCCGGCTATGTGAGGCCGTTCCTTGGATTGGAGCCTTTCCTGGGAGGCAGAGAGGAAGCCGGCACAGAGAAGCAGGAGGCACCAACACTGCTTGTTCTGACTCCACTGACCTCTGCAAACTTTACCTGTTCCCTTTCGGCTACTTTGATTCAAACTGCTTTGTGGAAAAAGCACTTTGAACATCAGTACAGCTACACGTCGAGTACTGTCTGGGACCCAGATTGTGCTGCGAGTGATGTTTCCATCCGTTTCTGATGTGGAACTTACACTGTCTCGAGTGTTAGGTAAACTCTGAGTCAAAGGTCTAGACAATGACTGAATGTCCATCCAGTCACTTTTTATGAAACAACTTTCTCTATATTCCTGGGAAACGTGGCTGACCAGGATGGAATCCACGGAGCAGGCTCACCCTCTTGACCGTCATCATATGTGAAGAAGATGCCAGCACCTGGGTGTCTTCCCTGGATCTAAGGAGCCAGCATGTGGGGACCATAGTTTCCCTGGGTTACAACTACTGCTCTGTAGCTCCGGTGATGATGCGTAGAGATAAAGGACTATTGCACAGCTGGGCGACATTATTGGAAGTTGTGGTTTGTGCTTTGGCTGTGGTGCTCTGTGTCCTGAATGTTAGAGGTCAGAATCTATTAAAACACAACTGTGTGTGGGAGGTGGTGGCCAGTTAATCTGCTGACGTGGTTTTGACTAGTGACAAACCTCCTTTTTAGAAAGCAGAAAAGAGGGGATTGTTACAAAAGTAAACGCTCTATTTTTATGAATGACTCTTGTACAGAAGTTCTGTTTCCAAAGGCAAAGCATCTCTTCACATGCTGTGTATTAATTAATTAGATGTATATAATGACATGTCCGTGGAAATGTCATGTCTCTGTGGAAACCCTCATCCTCTCTCCATGGCGCATTTGGTGTGAGCATTCCTCTCCACTGTGATCATGAGTGCTGTTGGATTTTGGCAGGCTGTTTTCCCAGCATTCTACCGGGAACTGTGAAGGATTTTCCCATTCTTTAACCAGTTAGGATCAACATTAAGGAGGATGCTGAGAAAGATCCCAAGGTGGGGTGGAGAAGAGGCAGGGTTTTTCCTTCCAGGCACATTTTCAGCAGGAGGGGAAGGAAGCCTCGGCTCCTGCAGCAGTGTGTGTGTGTGTGTGTGTGTGTGTGTGTGTGTGTGTGTGTGTGTGTGTGTGTTGGATGAAAGTTTCCTCCCTGCTCTGCACAGGCCGCTGGCAGCTTCTCAGGAGAACGTGCTCCTCTGTCCTCTGGCAGAGAACAGAGCAGCTGCTCTGGGCGAGCTGTGAGATGGTCTCGCCGTAAAACCAGGACTCTCAGCAGCGGAGCTCGTTCCAGATTGTCACTGTGGAATCCAGACCGAGCAGACAGAGCTCCCACCTCCACGAGACTGCCCTGGCCGTTCTCAGTCTTGGCAATCATTCTCTGAAGGAGATCAGTGGGCCTACATTGCTAACGTGTGACCATTCACTGGGAACATCATCAGAGAGGTTTTTTTTTTTCTTTTTAAGCTGAGGCCAAGAAATATTTTAGGCCCCCCCAAGGAGACTCCCCAAAGAAACCACTTTTAGGAGAGATACTCAGTTTTGCATATGGGATGTGGGACCCCTGAGAGTGCCTAGGGCCAGCATGGGGCCTTGGGCTTAGGGCTAAGCAAGGCCCAGGCAGAGAGCTCACGGCATGGATTCAGGTGAGGAAAATGGAGGGAAACCACCTGAGCCTTCTAAGATGCCAATCTAAAAAGTCAGGATCATCAGGTGATGTTTCAGTTTGGATTTAGCGACTGGATGCTTTTATTTTGAAATACAAATGTTTCTGTTCAGAAGACTCAGATTCTAACGTGCCAAGTGATGGAACTACAGTAAGGCTGCTTAACTCAGGATGAGCTGATAGTGGGTAATAAAGTGACATTTTATTAGTCAGCCCCTGTTCCCCCTCCACCTCATCACTCGAGCTGGGAATGAGAATTGCCTTGCAGATTAAGGCAAAGTGTCTGTTCTGAACAGAGCTGCAGTTTTTGGCTCAACATTGTCCCACGCGGTAGAGATGGGAAGATGGAATTAGAGAAAGGTTCTGACAAGCCACAGGCTTTTTGATGCTGTAGGGAAACAGGAGGAGGTTGGGTCTGAGAGTGAACCGTATGTGGGTAAAGAGAGGGTGTCCACCGGGAAGGAGGCCAGGATAAGACCAGGGCGCCAGGAAGCCCAGAGCGATGAGGTAGTTGTTGCCCCGTGTCTGTGGGTGTCCCACAAGCGCATCTGATGCTGAGAAACCTAGTTACAGGGGGACCGGGGGGGGGGGGGGTCTCTGAACAGTTGGCGGCAAGTAACAGGGACCACCTCAGTGGGCCCCACCCAGGTACATGAGTGCGGAGGCTTGGGGCTTTGGGGCACATAGATTTCTGGAATGAATCAGAAGTCGTCCTTGACCAGGCCCAGGGATTCAGGTGGGACCTAAGCAGGTCATAGTATTTTGAGTCAAAATGAGACTGGGTCTTAAAGTTGTGGTCTGAAGTTTTGGGTTGGCCGACAGGTGCTAACTGAAGTCAGCCCTGGGTCAGAAGCTGAAAGCTGTCTTCAGTGATCGTGAGATCATTGGAGTCAGCATGCAGAAAGTTAGGGGTTCAAGTTCGAGTCTGATGGAAGCTCAGACTTACCTCTTCATAGTCACGTGATTGTTTTTGTTACTGGTTTTCTTGACAACCTCTAATCTTAGGTCCTCTGACCTTTATGTAAGTAACTAAATAGGGAACTGTCCCCTCCAGACTATGGGATTGCAGGGTTGTGGGAGCTTTTCAGAAGGAGTAGGGAAGCTATTTTATTCATGAAGGAGGAAGAAAGGAAAACACAAAATTATCAGCTACCTCAACACAAGAAAGAACATTCTGCCTCTATTGGGAAAAGGCAGACCACGCCAAGGTCAAGGTTTCTCATCTTTTTCTTTTATCTTCCATTGTTGGGGATGGCTGCTCATAGTTGGCAGAGTCTGCTTCCTGGGGCACCAGAGAGTGTCCTTTCTGCCGCACCCCTGTCTAGCCTTCAGGAGCAGGGAACATTCCAGATGAGTGTGTCTCCGCAGTGTTTCCTGCTTTTCCCAGTGTTCAAGAAAAGTTGAGAATTTCTGATTTTTAAGCTATTAATGTCTCGCGCTGGCAAGCCCAGCAACCCAAGTTTACTCCCATGAACTCACCCTCTCCCAAAAGTTGTTGTGTTCTTTCACTTCCTCAGGCTGGCTGTGGCACTCACAGGTACCCATTGCGTGTGTGTGTGTGTGTGTGTGTGTGTGTGTGTGTGTGTGTGTATGTATGTATGTATGTGTCGTGTGTGTGCACACACTAAGTTTAAAAAGCAAGCAAAACATTGACATTTAAACTTTAGAAACTGCTAAAGTGAATTCAGGACCAACAGAACATGTAGATGGATCTGATTTTGCATGGTGGCTGCCAGGTTTGTGACTTCCGCTTTGTTTTGTTTTGTTTTTTTTGTTTTGGTTTTTCGAGACAGGGTTTCTCTGTGTAGCTTTGTTCCTTTCCTGGAACTCACTTGGTAGTCCACGCTGGCCTCGAACTCACAGAGATCTGCCTGGCTCTGCCTCCCAAGTGCTGGGATTTAAGGCATGCGCCACCACCGCCCGGCCGTGACTTCCGCTTTGTAAAATGTGAAATAAACCATCCACAGTAATCACAAATGTGTGGGGCCCCGGGAAAAGCTGCTGCTAGCCCTCTCCTTCAGGAAACTTGATGCGATCCTGATGGTTTTGCTTCTCATGTAGCCCAGGCTGGCCTTGAGTTCCTGATGCCTCTCTGGCATGCACCATAACCCACAGCCTCCATTTGATTCCGAATGCATTTGAAATGTTTTGATTATGTCTTTACATTTCATGTCTCAAGAGAAAGGCAGCTCAGCTGTTAATTTCAGATTCAGATTTATACTGTCCTGCATTTAAAAGCAGGCAACAGTTGCATTTAAACCTCTGGACTTTGGGGGCCTTATTTATAGTTCAACTCTAGTTGTGTTTATGTGGGGGGCAGTTCTGAGCTTATGCCAACATACATTAGGGACAATTTATTTGGGGAATACAGCAAAGTGCCCCAACACTGGGTTTTGGCGTCATGCTTTTTCTGCAAACTAGGACTGTTTGGAGGTGTGATAAAGGAAACGGAATCATTTCCTGTTGTTGAGATACCAGGTGTCCCCATGGGGGTTTGGCCACCCTGGTCAAATCACCACTTTTCCAGATCCAAGGGTGAAAGTTAGCTGAAGGAAGGCTGGCTGGCTATAAGCAGTTGGCTTTGGTTCCAGTTTCAGAATTTGAGGGTGAGGAGAGGCTTAGATCACCCAGCACGTTCCCTCCGTGCACTCAAGACAGGCTGTGCTTGAGTTGTTCCAGACACGAGGCTGTGGCCCAGAGTCTGGCTCCTTAGCGAAGGAGATTCTGTAACCTCCCCGCTGATCAGATAGTTCTCTGTATGCCTTTGTTGCAGAAATTCAAGCCAGCTTTCTTTTGTCTTGGGTGTAGAGGAGAAAGAACAGCTGGTCACCTTCCCAGTACTGAAAACCACAGTGAAGTCATCCCCTGGTGTTTTTTCAGTAGTAAATAATCCCACCCACTTAAGGTCTTTCACAGCTCTTGTTCTCCAGGGGCTTAATGATTTCCTCCGCTCCTGCACTTCTCAGCACTTCTCGGCTTCACGCTCAGTTCCATTACCCAGACAACACCGGTGCCTTGTTCACATGGGTGCCATCTGACAGCCAGGCCCCAGTTAGGGTTACAGGGAAATTTGTGCGGGCCTGGGTGCTCTCACCACATAGAAAAAAATCATGGCACTTTAAAACACTGTCATATCACTGATACGCCTCCGGAGAGTTATGACCGCCACTTTTGGTCTCTTGCTGATAGTCCTGGCTCCTGTGGTATAGCTTCTTTTCTCCCACAGGCAAACACTTGGTGCTCATTGCTGATGTATTTAATGTCTTCTTCTAATCTGAAGACACCCTTCAAGGCCAGCTCTTACCTTCAGAGTGGCAGCTACTCCACACTCCAACTTTGGGTTCTGTTTTTACCTATTTCTAGACTTGATCTTTATTTTGTGAATCATATCATTGTTTAAATGGTGCACACTTCAGCAGAACTGGCAAGGTGTGTGGGGGGGGCAGTGTTGCTAAGTGCCGCCTTCCGTTGCTGTTGGGGACTAATTTACAAACCCTTTTGAATGCCTCAGGGAGAGCCTCTGGGGAATTTTAGCCAATTGTTTTCTTTCCTGCCCCTTGGGTCATCCTTGATATTCACCTGGGACCACAGACACCAAGGCTGTATCTCTCAGTTGAGCAGGCATAGTAGTTGATACAATCAGAAACCAGACAGAAGCAATCATTCCAACTGCATAGCTAACATTTATATTGCATAGAATCGGGCAGAAAGAGTCAAGGAGCAGCCTCCTGTGGCTGCCACTGGGTTATACGCAATGTGCTCATCTGTTATTTTTTTAAAAATTCTCTTCCTCTCAAAAAGAAGCATGTCAAGTTTGGACAGCAGCAAAAACTTCCATACAAATCCAAAGTGTTCATTTTGAGTGTAACATTAATTTTTGTTATCTGTTTAAAAAGCAAATATTTTTACTGTGGAAGCTCCCGTGTTAAGAAGGAAGGCCTTCGGGCACAGTGATGACTGATGACATTGTTCTGTTTTACATTTTAAGTTTTTTTGTCTTCGTGAGGTTTGGCAGAAGAGTGAGCACGGGCAGGCTGTAGCAGTGTGCCATATTTTTACATTGGAGATATTGGGGGTGTATTTGTACAAAACCATACCTAGATGATAGTCAGTCGTGGCTGGCATTTGTAAGATGTTTTTGTGCCTTAGAATTTCTGCCTCAAATAAAGTGTTTTGTTGTAAGTCTGCAGTGGCTCCTTATTTTCCAACATCTGTCCCGCTTCCTTCCTAGCTTGGGCTCCTGGCTGTTTGCAGAGGGTTCTGCCTCTGGGTGTGGAGGTAAGAAGGGCTTGCATCTGCACCCTGCTCTGCGAGGTCACTTCTTGGGACTCATCACTTCCCGGTCAGTTCCCAGCTCTGTTGCAGGTGCTGTAGCCCTGTGATTAGGAGACCCAGACCCCCAGTTTGTCTATAGAATGGGCCCAGAGCCCTGCGTTAGGGGGTGGTGACAGTTGTCAGGGTACCCCAAATGACAGGTGTCCACAAGAGGGCAATGGTTGATAAGGAAATGGTCAAAACTGGGGTTCTTGGGAGTGTCAGGGTCAGAAATCGGGGTTCTATCTGTTTGTTTCTCATCTGCTCTGGTTTCATTATGTGCCCAGAATTTGTAGCTTGTAATTTCGAGGGAACTTGAGGGAAATGGAAGCAGCTCTGAAGCAATCACTGTGGGCCACAGAAGAGGAAATGCCCCCTTGCCTTGGCATAAACAGCATTCTTCCGGTTCACTTTATCCACTGATGTCCTTTTTCCCATCTTTGGAAAGTCCTCTTGAGAACTGATGTCAGGGCACTGAGTACTGTATGGGTGTGGTCTCATTTACCTTCCTGTTACTCTTTGTAGTGGCTCATCTTACTGTCCCCATTTCACAGACAAGGAAACTGAGGCTCAAGCTCTTACTTATTGAATGAAAAAAAGAAGTAAAAGGACATGACTGCTCCTAAGGGGTTGAGGTTTTTATTATAGATGAGGCATCTGGAAGTCTGGAGTGAATATGACCGGCAGACTGAGCAGGGCCACGTGAGAAGAGGGAAGAGCCAAGAGGACAGGAGCAAGCCGGATACCAAGAGACAAAAAGGGTTGATAGCCAAGATGGGGGAGGCTATAGAGGGCAGAGCAGCTGGGGAAAGGGCAGCACAGCCCCCTGGGCTGGAGAGTTTAGGGTAGGGAGTGGGGTATGCCAGGTGCTGGTGTCCCCTTTGATGTGTTCATAGGAACCTCAGCTGTTTGTCCCAGGTTTGAGACCTAACACTCATAACTGTCTAGTGTCAGAGGCCACCTTACTGCTCAGGTCTAGCCAGCTAGATAAAGGTAGATTGAGGAGGAGGTGAGGACTGTCAGCAGATGGGTTCCTGGAGTGCTTGTGCCTTTTCTCACCTCCACCCGACACAAGAAGGAGCCATCAACAATCACTCTCAGTATGGAGATTAGCTTTGCTGAAAGCACAAACGAGGAATTGGCAGCCCAGGGATTGAGACATCATCACATCTAGTTAATAGTTCACAGCATCCCTCATTATTAAAGGGCAGGAGGAACCTTGAGTGGTAATCAAAGTGACTGTTCTTTTCTCAGTGTAAATGTTTGGAGTAAATCTTGTTCTCCGGTCATCTTTTTGCCTGGATAGACACGTTTCTGGACTTCCTGCTGTGAAGTCCCTGTTGTCATGACCACACTTGCCCCAGACATGAACAAAGGCAGGGGGTTTGTGGAGATCAGAGGAAACCTGAGTGAACAGGTGTTGTTGACATGAGTGTGCCATGTCAAGGACCCAGTGCCTCAGACCCCTGGTGTGTGTGGGGATCTTGACTGTGTAGAAAATGTGGATGGAAGCTTCCTCCTCCTGGATTGTTGACCTGAGATGGCACCCCTACAGAGACTCCCCCGCTGAGATTAGCCAAACCTCCCTTTTTTTTTTTTTTTTTTTTTTGGTTTTTCGAGACAGGGTTTCTCTGTGTAGCTTTGCGCCTTTCCTGGAACTCACTTGGTAGCCCAGGCTGGCCTCGAACTCACAGAGATCCGCCTGGCTCTGCCTCCCGAGTGCTGGGATTAAAGGCGTGCGCCACCACCGCCCGGCTCCAAACCTCCCTTTTTATTAAGCGTTACACAATAAGCCAGCTCCTTGTTTATCTGTATTCAGTAAACCCGCCTCCTCAATTCAGATGTATAACATGAACACGTTGCACTTCCAGAGTGCACAGCCCACCCGACCCCAGCTTTTCTTCATGTGTGCCTCTCATTTCTTCATTGCCTGTCACCGCAGCTAGGTCAGTCCCTGAGCCGTGCAGGTCTCAGAAGGACCAGTAGTCCTCTGTGCCATCTCTCCCCTGTTACTGCACACTCCAGGAAGTGGATAGAGGTTGGCATCAAGACAAACTGAGGCCAGGCCAAGAGGAACTTGGAGTCGGAAGGTAGCACGCCTGGCCTTGACTGCAAGTTTGGGCAGGTTCTGTGTCTGGTTTTAACTCCTGAAGGTAAGGCGCTTAGAGATCCTCTACAATGGGTGAAATTGCAAGCTAGTGATGAGGTTTTGTTATTAGCGGTGGGAGTGTTGTGATTCAGGCTTTGGTCTTTGCCATGCTGAGCTCAGAGCTCAGTCTGCTGCTGCCTTTCCGACTCTAGGCGGGTGGCTTGCCCTGTTTAGGCTTTAGTTTTCGTAGCTGGAAATCCAAGCAAGGCTGTTTTGAGGTTTGAATGTACCAGATGATCCTGGACATATAACCTGGCACACAGTATCTGTGGACATGTGGTCACCAGGGGGCAGGACAAAGACAGTGCAGTGAAATTTCCCTCAGCAGACCTGTTACCTCTTGGATATCTCGGTGTAGAAGGGCAGCTGGAAATGGCCTTTGGGAGAGATGGGCACGTGATTAGATGTTACTCCTTCTTTGAAACCAGTGGTGTTGGAGTGAACGCTGAAGTTCTTACACAGCCCTTTGCTGATCATTCCCCTCTGTCTCCTTCTCCCCAACAGACACTTCCTAAATTCCTTATATCCATGCTCCTGCCCAGGGCCTTGCAAGTGCTGTCCTTCTGTCTGAAACACCTTTGCTTGTGCCTCACCCTGGCAGAGATACCTTCTCCTGTTACTGCCCACCGTCCATCTAGTCCCAACATGTGTCTTTAGGTGAACTCCTCTCAGCTTGTGTGAGCATTCGATGGACCCTCGTGCCTCTGGAATGTCCTTCCAAGTTGGCTGGACTGGTATTGTGCTTTAAGCAGCTTGTGTGACCCCCAGGCCTGCTGGGACAAGTCCTGTCGTCTCCTTGGATCTCAGTATCAGTGGAGGGTATAAGCGTCGCTGATTCATGGGTCCCTATAAAGCTAAAACACTTGGAGGGGATTGCAAAGCATGGCAGGTGCTCAGAAATGTTTTCATGTGAGCAGTTACTAACTTGTAAACAGAGAAAGATTTCCTGGGGAAGTAAACTATCTTTACTTTACAAATTGCCTTCAGGCTCCAGCCAGCTACCAGGAGTCCCAGTGTTCAGAGCCATGTGCATGCCCCAGCCCCAATATTTCCTCCTGAAAGGCTGGTATTGTCTCATGGTTTCTCTCTGGGGGTGGGGTTCTGTGTGCCAACTGGACAACAGGTTCACGTGGGCTCCAGCCCAATCACCCAGGTGTTGGATACCTATTATGTGCCAAGGTCCATGCCATTCTTGAGTGCTCCTTGCTCTCCCAACAGGCTCTGGAATTTACATAATGTGCAGCCTCTAGGAGAAGAGTCAAACCCAGGTGTTTCCTATGCACAGCTTTGGCAGCCCATGAGATGCTCAGCTGTGCTCCTTGTGTTTCCTCTCACCCAGGTGAGCAGAAAGAACTTACGTGCATAGAAATTTTCCCAGGGCTACTTTCAGACTATTGCTTTGACTTGAACAGTAAGACAAAGCCTTTATTCTCTTGCAGGCAATGCCATTCCCCTGGTGAGGATGACATCACACTGTGTTGTTATACTATCAGGTTGCACCATGATTTTTAAATGCTGAAAACAAGCATAGGGAATATCTGGGTAGGGTATGGCTACAGGTATAAGATTGATGTCTCTTCCAGGAATTCCATTATTAGAATTAGGGCGCGTGCACGTGCGCGTGCGCGTGCGCGTGCGTGTGCGTGTGCGTGTGCGTGTGTGTGTGTGTGTGTGTGTGTGTGTGTGTGTGTGTGTGTGTGTTTGAGACAGGGTCTTTTGTAGTTTAGATTGCCTTCAAACTCATATGTAGCCCAGGAGGCCTTGAACTCCTGTTCCCCCAGTGCTGGAATTATGGGTGTGAGCCAACATGTGTGTGGGTCTCACTTTTAGGCTTTATGTTTGTGAAGTAGCCAGAAATAAGGGTCAAAGTTTATTCTGCAAAGGTTCCCATCACCAACCATTGTCATGATGCCGAGAAACGAGGAACAAAGCCATAGTTGGAACTGAGGATAAAATGCCACATTCACACAACAGGACAAGGAGTCATGTTGCAGGAGAACAGCCTATGTGAGCTGGAGATGTAGCTCAGAAGAACAGCATCTGCCTGCTACATATGGGCCTCGGGTTTCATCACAAAGCAACGACAAAAGAATTCACGCTAAAGGAAAAGACTAACTGTTGTTCGAATCTTAAATGGTCTTATAATAAAAAAAAAAAAACCCAGAGCCAGATATCAGGGTGAAAGCTGAAAGGTCAGAGAAGCAGAACAGCTAGCAACTATCAGAAAGTCTCCAATGTGCCTTGCTTAAATCCTGCTTGCTTTAGAGTGCCTCAGCCTAAAGAGAGTGAGTTCCTGTTTCCTCATGCCTTATATACCTTTCTCTGCCCTGCCATATTACTTCCTGGGATTAAAGGCATGTGTGCTTACCAAGCAAAGGCATGAGATCTCAAGTGCTAGGATTAAAGGTGTGGGCCACCATTGCCTGGTTCTGTTTCTTTTCTGTACTGGATCAATCTCATGTAGCCCAGTGTGGCCTTGAACTCACAGAGATCCAAACGGATATCTACCTCCGGAGTGATAGGATTAAAGATGTGTGCCATCTTTAATGCACACATTGCCTGACCTCTACGTCTAATCTAGTGGCTGGCTCTGATCCTCAGGCAAGTTTATTAGGGTACACAATATATCACCACAACTGACAAGTATGGGAAATGAAAAATACACATGCTAACTGTGGTCACCTCTAGGGGGTAGGACTGTGAAGGGTCTCTTTATGTAGTC